TCGCCTGCCCGATGCTAAAATTCCCCCTTCCTCCAGCACCGGCACATTGATGGAATTTCGACAGGGTTTGGTTTATACTTGGGGAAAAAAAAACCAAAAAACAAAAAAACGCTGCAAGAGCCAAACAAAAAGGTTTCATAAGGGTGGAAATAAGGCTGAACCCTGTGGAATTCCCTCGTCCTCCTGGTTTGGTGGAGACCCCGGCCCAGCTTGGCCCAGCCGGACTTTTGGCATCGGGAGTTGCCGGGGACTGGAGGTGGTTCCCGATGCCAAAAGGCTCAGCAACGAATCGAAAGGTTTCTCCAGCACAATTTTATCTCTATCCTGACGGCATTTGGTGCTGGAAAACTGGAAGTGGCTATGAATTTTGTTTGGATGCCGCTGCTATGCCAAGTTGCTGGGAGAGGGGATATCCCTTCCCAGGGGTTCTGTTTGCTTTGGGAGTATCCCCAGCCGAGGGCCCCCAGGGAAGAAACCTCGTCCAGGAAAGCCTGAATGTCTCAGGAGCGGATTTACACCTGGATTTACACCTGGATTTACACCTGGATTTACAATTCGAGCCGCCTTTCAGGGCGAATTTGTGGGATGTGGGAGCATCACTCGCCGGGTCCCAGCTCTGCTGCTGCTCAACCCCGCTGCTTCTCTGGGTACCCAATTCTTCGGCTCTGAATCCCAGCCAGCCCAAAAGCATCCCCGCGGGAAAGCATTCTAGCTATCCGTCCCTGAGCGGGGATATAAATACCCGCAGATATTTGGAAGATCTCTGTGGGAAGCGATTGTGTCTGAGTGGTAGCGCTCGGAGCTTATTATCGCTGGAACCGATTTGTATTGCAGGGATCTGCTCCTGCCAGAAAACTGCACAGAAAAAAATTCCCGAGCCGAAGGAGGCTGTAAATTCCTGTGCTGCAATATTTCATCGAAGGACGTCATGGAAAATCTGGGCTCGAAGGGCGCGGGGGGGAGACTCGGGACGGGCAGAGGGGGGAAAAGGGAGACAAAAAGGGGAGATTAAAATTTTCCTTTTTTTCTTTTTTTTTCCCTTTTTGACCAAAGCTCCGAACTTCTGCCTGAGGCACGGCGGTGACAGCCAGCCAGCACCTCCCCGCAGCAGCCTCAGACACCCGGGCAGCTCTGCTGAGCTCCCAGTTTTGGCTTCTGCTCTCCTAAAATCTTCTCCAGGGCCCGTTGGGCTTTGCCTCCAGGAATGGGAGAGGCCGAGGCTGGGATTGGGAAAGATCCCACGAGTGGGGGGCAAAGCCTTGCCGTGTGATGGACCCGCAAAAATTAGTTTGGAGTGTGCGCGCGTCTCCCTAAAAACATCTCTCGGTTCTTCCACCTTCCCCCAGCTCTCCTCTCCCCATCCTCGAGCCCCTCGCTCGAATGCACCCCCTCGCCTTTAAATAAACATTTAGGGATCGATTCGCCGCGGATTTGGGGCCAGCGGCCACGGGGATGGCGGAGACTGAAAAAAAAAAAAAAACCCGAGGCAGGCGAGGGGAAAAGGCCGGTGCTGGGGAGCAGGGGGGGTCCCGCGGGTGGTGTTAATGCAAAGCAGGACAGCGGGGAGGGGGACACGGGGCGGTCACTCCCCTCGCCCTGGGTGGTCCGGGCTCGCAGGAACACCCCGGCCCCTCTCGGAGCAGCACCCTCTAACAATACCACCTATATACATTTCCATCCTCGGGTTACACCCGGCCTGCTCGCAGAGTTGACTTCACTTAAGCAATTAGCTAGTAAAAATACCTTCGGCGCAGGAAAAGGAAGAAAGCTCGGATTTGTCTATTTTTACACAAAACACGGCCCGAGTTTGGGGCAGGGGGAGGGAAGGGGAGCTGGTTTGGGAAGGAGCCGGGTGGGAAGGGCGGCGGGGCCGGGGGTGCTGGTGGGGCCGGTAAAGCGGGCTCAGAACGGGATGGGAGAGGCTGATTGCACCAGATGATAGTTTAATTTTTGCCATTTCTTCTTTTTTTCCCTGCTTTTCATCTCAGCCCGTCGGAGGCTGGGGGAGGACTCGATTCACCCACCCAAACTACGAGCAGACAACACCAAACGCGAGTCCCGTTTTCCCCCACACCATCCTCCTCCTCCTCGTACACCAGGCTTTTCCTCCCCAAAATTCTCCTTTCCCCAACTCTTGGGCTCGGATTAAAACCCTCCAACATTTCTGCTATTCCCACGACGAGGCCTATAGGACCCCGAGAGATATATTCCCATTTTTAACTTTTGCTAGCTGTAATAAATGCATCGGAAACCAAATCTTCCTGCTCCTAACAGATATTGCGAAAGGGGGAAAGGGCACTCGTGAAGGGACTGGTTTTCTTTCAGGGGAAATAGTTTGATTTCCACGGAGAGTTTTGGGGTTTTTTTGACTCTGGGATATTTTATTTCCTTGTGGAAAGGCTGACGGTGACGAACCCTTTGAACGTGATTTTTTCACGGGTGCTTTGTGCTGTGTTTAGAGCTCCATCCCCGGGTGTTTTGGGGCCAGATCGGGGAGATGCGGTCGCAGAGTGATATAAAGCAAAGAAACCCACACTTTTCGAGGGCCGGGGGAGAATATTCGATGCGGAGCAAAGCTCAGGGTCAGAGATGCGCTGCCACAGCAAAAAATAAAAAGAAATGCAGCGAGAAGCAAAGGGAATATTCTGCACCAGCGACCTCGGGGATGTAAGCCCCGCGGAAGGTGATTGATTCCCAAAAAAAAGCGATTTTTGGGGTGGTTTCTCCCCTTCTCGAGCAGCCACGCGCTTCTCTCTCTGCTCCGCGCCGAGGGAGCAGCGGCCGCCGCCTCCCCGGGCAGCCGGAGCTGCTCGTTCTCCTCCTCCTCCGGGGAAAAGCTCCAGAAATATCCGTCCCAACCTCCTCCCACCCTTCCCTGGCTACCTGCCCCCGGCCTGGGGTTTGCCCAGCGCTCTCCCGTGCCTGTCCCGGGCCCCTTTTGCACCGGGAACGGGAGGGCCGCTGCTGTCTGCAGGATGACTTTTATTTTTTTAAGCTTTTTTATGTCAAAAGGGGAGAAAAGGAGTGTGTGTTGGGGGGAGGATAGAAAGAAAGAGAAAAAAAAGAAAAGAAAAGAAAAGCCTGATGTGAAATCCCTCTTGGTCGTACCACAGATGTGACAGGCGCCCCCGAGGCTGCTCACAACTGCTCGCCAATAACGCGGAGGGAGTTTGGAAACCCGATCGGTGCCTATCTTTCCTTTAAAAGGTATTAAATTATCATTAAAAACTTGAAAAGAGAAGCTGGAAGGCAGGGGGCTTGGGGAGGGGGATGTCCCCTGTCTCTCTTTGCACAGGGATGCACCCACACCCTGTGCCGAGGCCTGCGACCGGGTTAGGGGGGGACGGCGTGGATTTCTTTTTCCCCTTTTTCCTTTCTCTTTTCTTTTCCCCAATGTCCGGAGGGAGCAGGCGGCAGCAGCCGGCACACGGGCAGCCCTGAGAGCCCTTCCTTGCCCCGTGCCCACCCGCAATCCGCCCGCCCCGCTCCGCGCAGCTTTCCACGCGCGGGCCGCGAGAAGGTGACAACGATTTCAAGGGACTTACCTCGAGTGACAGCTCTGCCGGTGGCACGGTGCTCAAAGAGGTGGCTTTTGGGGGAGAGGGGAGGGAGAAAAGGGGGTCTCTACCCCTCTGGCTTTCTATTCTCCTTCCCCCCCACCGACCGCGTGTGCCCGTGGCACCGCAGGAGCTGAGCGTCAAACTCCGGGCATGGAGCCGCGGAACTCCAGCCCAGATTTATATACACCCCCCTCAAAAAACCCCCGAACGACCCAAAACAAACCAACCCACCCTCATCCCTAAAGCAGTTTCGGAGCAGGCGAGGAGCCCAAAGACCTTTCCCGGCCCCGGAGCGGCGGAGGAGGCAGAAAAGGGCATTTCGCGAGGCAGCGGGAGTTTTCGCCGATTTCTTTTTATTAAAGCACCCCCGAGCCCGTGTTTACATTGCGCAGTATAAACATCCTGCCCGGGCCCGCCGAGCTTAAAAAGAGCGCAAGAAGAGGGGGTTCGGAGTGGGTGAAGCTGCGCGCAGCGCGGAGCCGGAGCCGGGCAGCGCCTCCGCCGCCCCACGGCCCGCGGAACCTCCCCGCTGCCCGCAGGGGACCCGCGTGGGGCCCTTCCCGTGCTTTCCAGGCCTGGGAAAGAGGGCAGGGACGGGGATGGAGGAGCCTCACGGCGCGTCGCGGTCACGCGTGGCATAAACCACACACACAGACACAGGCACAGACACACGCTCGGTGCCCTCCGCGGCGGGCAGGGGCGCGGCGTGCAGCCCCCCCGGGTGGGGCAGGGCGGCGTGGAAAGGGCTCTTTAAAAGCTGCCCACCAGCGGGGAGCGGCGGCGGAGGGGGCCGGCACGGGGCGGCGGAGGGGCCGCCCGGGAGGGCGGGAGGGAGCGGCTCGGGGCGGGGATCTCCGCTCCGCGCTTACGTCTGTCAAGGAGCGGCAGACGCCGCTGCGAGAGATAAAGTAGAAGGCGAGCGGCGGGGCCGGGGGCAGACTCGACAGGCACCGCGATGGGAAGCAGCTCCCCGCAGCAGCGGCAGCGCCGGCCCAGCTAAAGCCTCCGGAGGGGACGGCGGCGGCCCCGGGAGCCCGGCCCGGCGAGGGGCAGCGGGGCGGGTGCGGGCGGCGGCCCCGGCTCCTCGCTCACAGCAGCCGAGCTCAGCTCGCTTCCACCCGCCCCCCCATCCCGCCTCCCTGCGGCCCCCCCGACCCTCCGCCTCTCGCTCGCCTTCTGCAGCCGCGCTCGGATTTAGGGATAAAGTGGGAGGAGGAGGCGAAGGGGGGGTGGGGGGTGTCGTCGCTTCCATTTGTTTATCCACGGAGGGGTGAAGTCTCCCGGTGGAAAGGCAGCCCGCCGGGGGGCCGGGAGGACGCCGGAGGGAGGGTGGTGGGTGAGTAGCGGCGAGCCCCCAGCAGCGTGGCCTTTTGGGGGGGCGCTGGGGGGGCGGCGGAGGAGGGCCGGGGCTGGGGCTGGCCGCCGCGGACCTGGCCGTAGATGACTGCAGAAGCGCAGCAGGCTCTGTCCTCTCAGCCCCCTCCTCCTCCGGTGCAGAGCAGCTACGGCCCCATGTCCTCCGTGGCTGAGAAGCAGCCGCAGAGCTCGGCCATGGACGCCGCCTCGGCGGGGACCGGCGGCGCGGCCGGCAGCGCCCCGGGCAGCGGCGGAGCCCCGGGCAGCACCGGCCCCAAGGCGAAGAAGACGAACGCGGGGATCCGGCGGCCGGAGAAACCGCCTTATTCCTACATCGCCCTCATCGTCATGGCTATCCAGAGCTCTCCCTCCAAACGCCTGACCCTCAGCGAGATCTACCAGTTCTTGCAGAGCCGCTTCCCTTTCTTCCGAGGCTCCTACCAGGGCTGGAAAAACTCGGTGCGCCACAACCTCTCGCTCAACGAGTGCTTCATCAAGCTGCCCAAGGGCCTGGGCCGCCCGGGCAAGGGCCACTACTGGACCATCGACCCGGCCAGCGAGTTCATGTTCGAGGAGGGCTCGTTCCGCCGCCGGCCCCGCGGGTTCCGGAGGAAATGCCAGGCGCTGAAGCCCATGTACAGCATGATGAACGGGCTCAGCTTCAACCACCTCCCCGACAGCTACGGCTTCCAGGGCTCGGCCGGCGGGCTCTCCTGCCCCCCCAACAGCCTCTCCCTCGAAGGGGGCTTGGGGATGATGAACGGGCATTTGTCCAGCAACGTGGAGGGGATGGGCCTGGCGGGACACTCCGTGCCCCACCTGCCCGCCAACGGTGGGCACACCTACATGGGCGGCTGCACCGGCTCCTCGGCCGGGGAATACCCGCACCACGACAGCTCCGTGCCCGCATCCCCGTTGCTCCCCGCCGGCGGCGTGATGGAGCCGCACTCGGTTTACTCCAGCTCGGCCTCGGCGTGGGCGCCCAGCGCCTCGGCGGCCCTCAACACCGGCGCGTCCTACATCAAGCAGCAGCCCCTCTCGCCCTGCAACCCCACGGCCAACCCGCTCTCCTCCAGCCTCTCCACGCATTCCCTCGACCAGCCCTACCTACACCAGAACAGCCACAACACCGCCGACCTCCAAGGTAAGGCGCGGCCACGCGTGGGGCGCATCCGCGACCGCGGCCACGGGGGTCGGCCGGGGGCTGCGGATCCCGCGTGGAACCCCCTGCGGGCCGGGATCCCGCTTCGGGGGCTCTCTTAGTGCTGTTCCCGAGGGGAAGCTGCCTTGCCCTCGCTCCTCGCCTCCTTTCCCGGGGCAGCCGGGCTCCCGTCGGGGCTCTCCCCGCTGCGGAGCCGGGAACGGCCGGGCCGGGGCTCGGCTCTCCCGGGCCGGGACTCGGCTCCCCCGGGCCGGGGCTCCGCTCTTCCCGGCGGCTGCTTCACCTCCAGGGCCGTCCCGGGCCTAAAGCCGGTGGGCTGAGGCAGCGGAGAGCTGCGGGAAGGAGAGGCCTGGGGCTCTCCCACCTCCTTCGGGACTTGGAGAATTCCGCCGAGGGAAAAGGGAGGAATTCCTCATGGGATGGTCCGCCACCCTCGCCATCCCTCCCCGTCCCGTCCCGGCCCCTTCCTCGCCATCAGCTGTGTTTTCCACACATCTCAGGGCCGTGTTTTCCAGGCCCATCACCTCCCTCCATCTGTCGCTCACGCCCCAGCCGGCGGCCCGGACCCCCCAAATCTTCCCGTGCCCCAACACCCCGGCTCGGTCTCGTTCCTGGAGCTGTCGGGCCTGCATTTGCCCTGGGTCTTGGAATGGAGATGGTGTTTGGCCGGGAAGAGGCCTCGGAAGGGACGAGGCCAGCGCTGGGTTTCGCTTTGCTGCCCAAATTCCCCTCGGGATGCGGTGGCTGTGGGCTCTTGTGGCACGGGGGAGCCACGGGCGGCTGATGGGGCAGATTTGGGGGTCCCTGCCCATCACCCCGGGCCTTCGGGGGAGCGGGATGTGCCTGACGGGAACGGCTGTGGAGCGGAGAACAAATGGGTCAAAGACACAAAGCGAAAAGGGGAAAAAGCATCAGGCGGGCCGGGCCGGAGCTGCAGAACCCGGGCAGAGCCGCAGTCCCGGCCGGGCCGGGGCAGTGCCCACCGCGGGTACCCCCGGCCCCGGGGCAGTTCCCGGAGCTCAGCGCATCCCGGGCCTCTGGAAAACGGAGCTGGGAATCCGCCCCGAGGAGCCACCGGGCCCATGCGCGGCCTTCACCGAAACGCTCTGATTTTCACCCAAAGGAGCTGCGGGGAGCGCTCCCGGGCAGGGCACCCCATCCCCAGCGCAGCCCGAATTCCCGGGGCGCTTTTCCATGCCGAGCTGGCAGAAGGAGCGGTAGGAACATCCCCGCTCCCGGTGGCTCTCGCTCCCGGCCTCCTGCCGGTCCCCACCGCCGCTCCCGGCACGAACGGGAGCTGCCCCGCTCCGCACCCGGCGCATTTCCCGCACGGGCCGAGGCGATGGGAAAAACAGCCGGGGCGAAAGAAAATAAATCGACGTGTTGAAAAAAAAAAAACCCAAACCCTAAACCCAAAGCAAATCCCTTCTCCTCGCAGTGCCCTGGGCCGGGCAGGGAAGCTCCGTCCCGGGGCCGCCGGTGTTGCTCCGCCGCACCTGCCCGCATCCGCGGAGCCCCGAGGGTGCCGAAATACCCCCAAATCCGCTCTCGGACCGGGCCGTGAGGGCCGGCTGGGTTGTTGGGATTTTTTTTTCTACCCCATCCAGAGCTTTTCTCCCTTCTCCTCGCTCACCCTCCCCTCCTAAATCTCTTGGCGCTGCTGACCATCTCTCCCCCCGTCCCGCAGGCATCCCGCGGTATCACTCGCAGTCTCCGAGCATGTGCGACAGAAAGGAATTCGTCTTCTCTTTCAACGCCATGGCCTCCTCCTCCATGCATTCAGCGGGCAGCGGCTCCTATTACCACCAACAAGTGACATACCAGGACATCAAGCCGTGCGTTATGTGAGCCGCGGCGGAAAATCCCCGCTGCTGGGGCCGGCCAGGCCGGAGGCGAGCGCTGAGCATCCCCCAGATGAGATCCCTCAGGACGCTCTGGGTGCCAGGGGGGTGTCCCAGCCTGGCTTTGGGCAGCAGGAACGGACCGGAGCTCCGGGAAGCGGCGGCAGAGCGGAGAGAGGAGCCGGGAATGAGCAGAGCCCCGGCCGGGGGTGCGAGCCCGCAGCGCCCGTGCCTTCTTCTGCTCGGGGAGGAGAAAGCGAAAATGCAGCCCCCCCCCGTCCGTCCAGAAAACCCCGACTGCGAGTTTGGGGTGAGGCTTTGCCAAATGAGGTTTTGATACTTCTTTAAAAAAAAAAAAATATGAAATTTCAAACTCGGTTTGGGAGCTGGCGGTGAGCGATGGCAGCGGCTCGGCTGGGAGGAGCAGAGCCGGGTCGGGCTGAGGGGGCTGGAAAAGACCCCGAACTCAAATCCCCTCGGTGCCGTCTCACTTCGAGCCCGGAAAAATACTTTTTTAAATTTGGTTTTTTCCTTTCTTTCCTTTTTTTAAAATTTTAATTTTTTTTTATTTGCCGGCCAACACTCAGCAGGCAAAAAAAAAAAAAAAAATCTCTCAGAGGGATTTTTTGGAATTATTAATTTTGGTTTTTTTTTTGCCTGCATAAAGACTGCAGGACCAGACCCTATGCAGAGAGAACAAGGCACTTTGGAAAGAGACAGCCATGCTCATCCTGTTATTTATTCTACATTTCTTTTTGTTGTTGTTGTTGCTAATAATCGAGACACGAATAGTCTCAGTTGATCAGTATTAAATCGGGGAATCTCTGTTGGCAATATTTGCCATATAGATTTGGGTTTTTTTAGTTAACCTTTGTAAATTTTCAAGCGACCGTGGTCTCTGTGTAAAGACAATCCTCCATATGTTTTTATAGAAATATATATATAATGAAGGATTATTCCCCTCCCTTCCCTCTCTATTTTTTTTTCCACCCTGACGTTGTACAGTTCGGTGACACCTATTTTAATTCTTTCTGCACTGTATAAAATTGTAATTATGTGGATTTGTTGTTTTGTTTTTTTTCGCCTTTTTTTTTTTTTTTTGTTCGTTTTTTCCCTAAAAAAAAAAAAAAAAATCCCGAAATAAAACCTGTATGTTATTTGTACATGGGCTTCACGATTGTATGAGCAGCAAATAAACGAGCATGCGGTGTAATTAAGCTTAATTAATGAGGAGTCCGTGGCCTCGGAGGGGCCGCGCAGCCCCGGCCCGGCCCTGCAAACCCTCGGGCAATAATTCCCAGACTCAAAATCGACTTTTTAGGCTTTTTTTCACCTTCGCGGAGTCCTGGTTGCCAATTTCCCTGCTGGGAAATATTTCGATTTGAGGATATTGAAAGGCAGAAGGAGGAAAAACGGCGGTGCTTTTTCTTTTTAGCTTTTTACTATTAGGATTATCCCGTTTTTTCCTAAGGCAAAAGGCGCCGTTTGACAGCTCTTTGCCTCTCCCTCGAATTCCAGGCGTGAGGCTGCCGGGATGGAGCCCGCGGTTCCTTTTTTTCCTCTTCCTCCATCCCGGGAATTTTCTGATCCGCACATCCCTGCGGCACCTCTGGCAGGGAGCTTCCCGCTGGCTTTTCCCCGCGTGAAAAAGAAACAAAAATTCATAAAATGGAAGGAAATTAACCCAAATTAACCCAAATTATTAAGAATTAATAAACAAGAATGAAAAATTATGCAGATCAACTGCACCATCTGTGTCGTGCACGGGGCAGTGATAAAGCTGCATTTAAATATCGGTATTTTCCTGTGAAATTTGGGGGGATTTGGGCTAATTCAGGATCCCCCAGTATCCAGGATTTTTTGCTTTAATTCGTGGGCCAATCTGTCTCCATCAATATCCAATATCAATGTCCATTAAAAAGAGATGCAGGCGAATTAATCTGATTACGTGGTTGTGGATTTCTGCCTTTAGAGAGGGAAATTGAATCACTGCACGCTAATTAGCCCAGCTCTGTGGAATCAGATTAATTAAAAGCCAAGCGCGCTGTAACAAGAAGGGACAAATTTGTAATATTATTGTATTTAAGACAAGGCTTTATTAGAGTTGGGGGAGGCCTTTTCAGAGTGGGTTTTTTATTGTTGTTTTGTGGGGTTTTTTTGAGGAGCACTGTTGGGTTTTGGTCTTTTTTAAAAAAAAAATGTTAATGTTTTGGGATTTTTTTTAAATCTCTGTTTAGTTCTCTTTAAACCATCAGCAATCTACCTGCAGCATTATTTGTTTTCCTTGTTTTTATGCTTTTCTGGGCTGATCTTTCCCACATCCCTGCCCATCCCTGCTGGAGGCGAGCACATTGTCTCCATCCTTTCAGGTACAAGCTGCAAACAGAGGGGGTTTTTGCTCCTGAAGCAAATTATCTGTACTAGGTGTGGCTGAGATAATGGTCCAGGGTTAGGAGTTCATCTCCTTGAAATCCCACTGTCCCTCCCCAGGTTTGTTTTCATCCTTTTGGATTGATTTTGGCTCCTCCTTGGCATTTGGTGCTGCTGGAGGCTGGGAAGGACAGGCAGCACCTTGTGAGGCTCGGGCACAGCTCGCAGGGGTTCCGTATCTGCTCCCCAGCAAAGCCTGATGTGATTCATTCTTCTGCCTCCCGTGGCTTTCCAAACCTGGAAAAACAGAGCCACTGCATTCCATGGACGCCACATATTCCTCAAGCCAGTGAGCGCAGTCTAAACAGGAGCTCTCCATCCCGGAGCCCTCCAGCAGCCAGGAGAGGCCGAAACCCCCCGGCTCCTGCCCCCAACTCTCCATCTGCAAAAGCCCATCAGGATTTTTCCCAGTCTTTTTAGTCCCATGGGCTGGTAAATCCTGAGCTGCTGTCCCAGCTTTGTGCTTTTCCAGGAATGGTTGGGCTCTGAGAGGAGGTGAGGAGGGATAAACTTGCCCAGAAATGCTGTGGGAGCCCTGGCAGAGGGGCGAGGCAGGGCTTGCTCAGAAATGTGGGATTTGCTGCCGGAAAAGCTCAGATGTGGCTCAGCTCAGCATCAGCGAGCTGCTCCCTGCTCCTCATCCCTCACATCCCAATCCTTAGGGAATAAAATTAATTTTCTTTTGGGGTTTTGGTGTTTCTACTTCAGGAAACAGCTTCTCATCGCTGATGCCTTGCACAGGCCCAGGGATTTTCTACAGGGATGAAATTGTCCAGGAGTTTTTAACAGGGATGAGATTTTGGAGCATGATGAGAAACAGGGCCTGGTGTCTCCAGCCAGGTTGTCCCAGCTGGATCAGGGGACATTGGTGTCCCCAGGCCTTGTGCAGGGATTCTGGTGGCAAAGAGCTTCCCCCTGCTCATCCAGGATGTTTCCCTCATCCTCACCAGGCTACCATGGAGCTGGAGCTGTGCCCTGTGCCCTGCCCATGTCCCCAGGGTGCTCATGAGGGACACAGCCCCACGTGGGGACAGAGCTGGAGGGAGCGCAGGATAGCGCAGGGATCCCAAGGAAACCCTTGGAAGATGTGGGGCTGGGTCCCCTGTGGGGGGGACACATTTTTGGGAGAGTCCCTTGGGATGATCTGCAGCCTTTTTTGGGAAGCAGCATCGGAGTCTCTCAGGGATCCGGGGTGGCTGGAGGATCCTGGGGGTTTGGAGGGTCCGGGGGCACTGGATGATCCCAGAGGATTGGAGCATCCTGTGGGAGAACTGGAGACATCCCAGGGGACTGAGGGATCCTGGAGGCTTTTGGACAATCCTGTCTGGGTTTGAGGGATCCTTGGGGGTTTGGAATCTCAGAGGGATTTGGATGATCCTGGTGGGTTGGGATGATCCCGGAGAATTAGGATGATTCCAGGGATGTTGGATGACCCCAGAGGATTGGGATGACCCCAGAGGATTGGGATGATCCCGGTGGGATTGGGATGATCCCAAGAATTGGGATGATCTCGGTGGGATTGGGATGATCCCGGAGGAGTGGGATGATCCCGGAGGAGTGGGATGATCCCGGTGGGATTGGGATGATCCCGGAGGAGTGGGATGATCCCGGTGGGATTGGGATGATCCCGGAGGAGTGGGATGATCCCGGTGGGAGTGGGATGATCCCGGTGGGATTGGGATGATCCCGGAGGGATTGGGATGATCCCGGAGGAGTGGGATGATCCCGGTGGGATTGGGATGATCCCGGAGGAGTGGGATGATCCCGGTGGGATTGGGATGATCCCGGAGGAGTGGGATGATCCCGGTGGGAGTGGGATGATCCCGGTGGGATTGGGATGATCCCGGTGGGATTGGGATGATCCCGGGGGTCGGGGCCGGGGGCGGTGCCGTTCCCTTGCCGGCAGCGCCACCTGGCGGCGCCGAGCAGGGACCGCCGGCCCGCTGCTTTCCCAAAATTTGGTTTCAAACCCGTCCAGTCAGGGCCGGTTTGGAGCCTTTTCTCCACCAGGTGGATGCTAAAAGCTTGTTTTTCTCCCTTATTAATTATTTTTTAAAAATCTCTTTCAAAATGTATTTATTTTGGGTTTTATTTTTCCCTTCTGGCATCCGGACCTGTGAGGGGGAACATCCCTTTATCCCATCTTCACACCAGCTCCAGCTCCTTCATGGAGCACTTCTGGATCAAACCTTTTCCATGCCCAGTGGGACAGATGGGAACACCTGGAAAAACATGGAGTAATCCATGGATACAGGCACCTGACACAGGATGTTCTCAGATGCGGTTGATTATCCAGAATTTGCAGAAAACCTTGGAGAATCAACCGGTGGGAACGATGTCCAGAACATTAAATGGGTATTTGGAATACCAGGGGATGAGTTTGGCACCAGGTTCTTATCAGATATAAAGGCTGAGATCCATAAGAATCTCTTATCTGAGATCCATAAGTGGGTGTCTGATTTCTCCCTCAAAACAAAAAATTTGGGATCTCAGGGGATCCAAACAACAGCTCCTGTCACTTTCAGAAGGGGATTTTGATTTCTGCAATGCTTTTGGGAGGCCACACCTGAACATCTGTTCCTTTTCCAAGCATAACTCCTGCCTGATGCTCTGCAGGAAAAGGCAGTGCTGGGATGCTCCTGGATTTATCCCTGCCAAGGAATCTT